TGCAGCAGCATTTGCTAAATAATAATAAACAAATTGTTCAAAAATTTTATGCTTCAGTATTAGATTAAATAATATCACCCAACTCTTAATTTTTTTTAAAACTACCTTTTTATTACATAAAAATTTAAAAGTATTATATATATGTTAATTAAATATAAAAAAAGTTAAATTTTCATTATTTTCATCATTTTACAATATTTATTGTTAATTTTAGTTTGTTGTAGTAAAAACTGAACATAAAAAAAATACATAAATATATTTGTGNTTAGTTTGTTGTAGTAAAAACTGAACATAAATATATTTGTGGTTAAAAATGTATTAAATAAATTATAAATACAACATGAATAAAGTAGTTATCAAATATTGGTTTTTTTTTAATTATATATTTTATTTATTTTTAATATTTATACCATTAAACATCTCAATAGAAACAGAATTTAGAGTATCACGGAGATCATAGAAGTATGGTTCAGGTGTGAGTGTTATATCAATTTTAATTCTAGAAGATATATAACCACCAATCACTTCTGCTTGACAACCGTAAAATGGAGCATCCAGTACAAAAACATTTCCTCCAACAGGGAAGTACTCTTCAAGAGCAAAATAACTTTGTTTAATATGTGGGTCATTAACTTCTAAATCAAGGACAGCTGTTTGAAATGCTACAGTTGAAGGAATTTCACACCACTTTTTTTCAATATTTATGAAACACAATTATAAATAATTAGTAATAATTAAAAATCATGGAATAATACACAAAATACATACAGCTTTCACTAAATCTACACCACTGCCATCTTGTCTTGGTATATATTTAGTTCCCTTTAATTTTTGACCTCGAAACAGTATAGAAGTTTTTCCAATATCAATACCACGAGTAGACATATAGCTTTAAACATAATTAATTATTTTAATTTTTTAAGATACAGAGTGATAAATTTATAAGTAAAACCCAATAGTTTGCATTAAAAAAGTAATAATGCATACAAGATAAAAGAAAAAAAAATTAAAATGCTTTCTTAAAAAAGTTAAAAATACACTTTTCAATTTTTTACAATAAATCATCAACATAATTTTTTAGAATTCTTGAGGAACTAATTATAAGAGAACTCTAACCCCCTAAATAACTCTAATATATATGAGTTGTTTTTGCAGTACTGCATTTGATGCCAATCATATTTTTTTTAAATTATTATTTATTTAAAATAAGATGTTCCATTTATAATTTAGTTATGTTGTATTTCTTACGTTTTTGCAAACCCTTGAGAAAGTAATTTGAATTCCTGTACTGCTGAATCATCCATATCTCGAACAATGACATGCTCATTATCGTCAAGAGACAAAAGTAAAGATTTGCTAGATATAGCAGTAACTCTAAAAAATCCAAATTTTACAAAAATTAATTGATCTATTTATTAAATATAGAAAAATATACTTTATTTCTTCAAGATGAGGCCAATTAGCATACACAGTTTTGCCAAGTAACTCTTTAGCAATACTTTGTATATTGCCTTCAATATTTTCATCTTGATTAATTATTTTAATTATCATGTTTTCACCCAAACTTGAAGATTGAAAAACTTTTACACCTTTCTTGAGTAATTCAGCCTAAATTACAATTTAAAAATATTATAATTTATTTATAATACATAATTATTTTTAAATTTAAGGAGGATAAACCTTCTTAACTTCCATAGATTAACTCTTAGTTAAAATAAATGATTTAACTTTAAGTATACCAAATATGTAAAACTAAAATTATATATAAATACATTTTTTTTTTTATAAAAAAAGATTATCATATTGTTTACAACTGTTAAATTGTTGTTTAGATTATAAGATACTTTAATTCAAAAATTACTTTTCTTATAATTACCATCATAAAAATATCCAAAATTTGATTTGAATCAGAGGGAAATATTTCAAAAATTAATAAATATAAACAGTTCAATGAGAATAAATATTATTATTGTTCTCCTGAAAGTTGGAATAAGTAAGGCAGTGCTTACTTATTGAACAATAGTTGAATAAAAATATCCTATTTAATCATACTAAAGGCATTTCTACAAGTAGGTATAGACTCTTAGGCACGCCCTGCAAAAACACCTAAATACCATACCATAATAAAATAAATATGAAAAATAAAAACTTACTGTAATTGGTATGAGATGAAGAGTAGGAAACCCAACATGATAAACATCCAAGTTTACATTTGGACACAAACCTTTAACTAAATCATTAGGATCAACGGCAATATCTTCACGATTAATCAATATTCTATGTGCATGACTTTCTTGAATAGGTGGAAAATACTTTGAGTTTGACACTATACCTATAAAATTAAAATACAGCTCAGATGTAAAATTTTATTTTATTTATCTGTAAAAATAATTACCCATATTTTCTTTGGTATACTTAAAAAGATACATAGGACCATGTGAATTTCTTTTTTTTTCATCATCTGAAAGTTTGTGTTCGACCATTTTCATAGACTTTAATAGAGTTTCCTAAAAAGCAATTTGTTAATACATAATCTAGATAAAACATTATATCAATATATATATATATGTATACACACACACACACATATATATATATTTTATTTTTTTACTTCATCAATAAAAGGAACTAATACGACAGCTTCCCATTCGTGTTGTTTTCCATTGAGATCAGTTTCAAATTGTTCAGGATAGTACATTCTAATTGGACTAGCTTCTTCTATCATCAAATCTTGAAAAGGTTTTGGTAATAACTCTTTACTAAGTGATGGTAATACTGCCAACAACTGCTGAAAAGGTAAGAATGGTTGGCCTAAATCAAATTCAAGCTGGATATTTTCAAAGTCCTTGATATCAGAAATATATGGTGCATAATGATGAGGATAATACCAAGACCAAGAACAACAACCATTATAATAATAGTTTAAATTCCATTGTATTGCTCGAATGTATCCTTCTGCTTGAGAACGCATTACATCTCTAAAATGATTATAAAATTAGTAGCTAATAATTATTTCAAATAAGTAAAAGTATTAAGTTATTAAAAAATAAATACTCACTCAGTAATAACATTGTATTCTAATTTATTTCTATAGTAATTTTCTTTATGTAATGTGAACTCTGCCATCATTGCTTCTTCTTCAGTTTCACTCGACTCTTCATTTCCATCCTCATCATCATCACTAAGAAGCTAAAATATTTTATTTAATAAGAAAATAATTATGATGATGAGTTATTACAAAAAACTAACTCACAAATTTTTCAGTATCTTTGATTAAAGTAGCTAGTTCATCTTTATATGCTGGATCTGATTCATCCTGAAAAAAAATATTAACTTAATACTACAATAAATAGAACAATAAAAAAATGTTCAATTTTACTAACACTTGTTTCAATTCCATTGGCAGTTCTTTTTCCTTCTAGATATTTAATGTCAGCAAAAGTATCTCTAAATTGATCATAATCAAAATTTGCCAAACTTTTCATAAATATTTGAAACCTTTTAAGATTTAAAGAACCTTTTTCATTTAAATAACCTAAAACGTAATTTAAATTAAATCACTTAAAACTTATTTCTAAATTATACTACCAAAGATTAACTTAAAAAATATTTATTTCATCTATTATACAACATGTTATTAAAAATTCAATATTAAATCATGTATTGAACTTTACCTCCTACTTGTGGCAATACATCCATGTAAACCTTATACAGAATAGGTAAAGCTCCTTTAGAAATATGCAAATCAGGTAAATGAGGTATAAAATCATTACCTATTAGGAATCCCATTAATACCTAGAAATAATAAACACAATTTATAATATTGAAAAATGTTCTTATTAATTTTGATACATAACAAAAAATGTAATAAAAATGTATAACTCACCCAATCATCAATAATAGATTCTAAATCATATTTGAAAGGTAGAACTTCTTTAAGCACTTGAAACTCTAAATCTAAATAATCTCTCATCAATGATAAATGTAATAAATAAAATTTGGTTTCATCAACAGAAGTTTCACGTTTTGCTTTGCGATCAAATTTAACCTTCAAAAATTTAAATGTTATAATCAGTAACTTTAACTAATATTTATAAATATTATATAATATTACAATTATAATATTATATTTCTTATAATATTTATAAGAATCATAATGACAATAAAATTTACATACCTCTTCTCTGAGCAATGAAAAATATGGTTCATGAGTACATAAACCTAACATTATTAAGTCTGCATCCAAAATAAATATTATATAATATTACAATTATAATATTATATTTCTTATAATATTTATAAGAATCATAATGACAATAAAAGTTACATACCTCTTCTCTGAGCAATGAAAAATATGGTTCATGAGTACATAAACCTAACATTATTAAGTCTGCATCCAAACCATAAAGGCAATGTCTAGTATTTGAATCATAGTCTGGCTGTGATTTCATATACCTAATATAGTCCATAATTTTATGTTCACCTTCACCTGGGACTTGGTGACCAGAAAGTATTACTTGAACTTTACTCCATAATGGATCATTGGACACTTTATCATTGACAAAATATTCAAGTTCATTTTGTAAACGCACCATGAACTCTGTGCCAGGTGTAATACAATTTGAATCAAAGCGCTCTGAAGTAGGTAATGTTTCACCTCTAACAATAGCAGCTTTCATTTGTTCAGCAGCAACATGAGCTGATCTAAAACGACGACCACGTTGCTGATTCATTTTAGCACGAGGAGCAACTCCATCGACAGCCATGAAAAATAACTTTTGAGGTTGAATCATTTGAAATAAAACCTAATAAATAATCAGTTTTATCAGTCGACTAATAAAAATTAAATAATTTAAATTTACCTCTAAGTAATGAAATATATTTTTAAATATAACCTCTTCAGTGATACGAAAATGAGGGTCATCATCATTTGGATGTGAACAGTTATGAATAATCCCATTCATGTCTAGGTATAGATTATCAAATTCTGGAATCTGATAAAAATTGTTTTTACCAGTTATAAAACTATTTTATTAATGTTTTTATATACATACTTGATAGTCTTTGACAAGTTCGCTTAGGCAAGGATATCGTTCGCTCATGTAGCGAAAGAATTTTGGAACTCCCATGATTTTAATGAATGTAGTAGTATTTTATGTCAAGAAGTTAATTATAGTAAACTAATAAAAATTAAAAATTCAACTGTGATCATTGGTCATCAAATTCAACAAAAATAATAATATTTAAAATGTAGGATTACCTACCGATTACTTAAAAATTAAACGTACTAAAAAAAAAAAATTAGTTACAAATATTAACTAAAAAGTTCACTGACAATTGCATAAATTACAGACATGATAACGTAGCGTAAATATAACCTTAAATAACTTGTAAATTATTGATAACGATAACCAAACGGTGTTTTTCCAAAGTTATCAAAAGTGATTACAGCATTCATTTTCAGAACTTCACGTAGGTTACACTTTATAGTTCTTAGGAACTTTAATTTTTTTTTTTTTAATTAATTTTTTGTTCTTATTTTGAATAGAGTAAATAATATAATATATTTTTACTATACATACATGTATATTTACAAACGATTTTAGTCTCAAGTTTAAGTATAATTTTTTTATATGACCTTAGTAATATAATACTTATTTTTAAAAATAGGATAGTTTGAAAAATTAACCATACATGGTACTTTCACAGTGCCACAATTCTTTATTTCAACTAATTTTAATTTAATTTATATTTTAAATGAATCTTCTGTTGTATAAACCATGTACAAACTGTACATTGTATATTTTTGTCTTTTTAATTTCGTGATAAGTCAACAAAAACATGGCCATTCAAGAATGTATGATAAACGTAAGTAGAAATATTATTTACATAAACTAATTTCAATTCAACAAACTAAATTACTCATTATTTTTTAATAATTCATTAATAAAAATAATTATTTGAATAAAACTATTCTTAGTATCCAATCATATTATTAGCCAAATCAATAAAGCTAAAGAAGATTATGTGCCTTGTAAAAACAAAAATGGAACTTGTTTTTTCCCAGCAATTTTGCAAGATATAGAACCATTCATAGATGGGATTACTCATGATTTGATATCTTCTGCTTCTGAAAAGTATTATTATTATTTTTTATCACCAATAACCAATATTTTTTTATTAAAATACAATATATGTATGACTTAAAATTTATTAATTTTTTTTTTTTTTTTTTATCAATAGAGGAACACGATACATGATATACAACCATGACTTGTATAGAGAAACAAAATGTATGTTTCCAGCTCGCTGTGAAGGTGTTGAGCATTTCTTATCTAAAATCCAGTTGAATGTTCCTGATGTAGAGTTTATTTTAAATACTCGTGACTGGCCTCAAATCATTAAGCATTTTGGTGATCCTAAACCTGTATTCTCGTTTAGCAAAGTGAGGTTTTATCATAGTATAAATATAACCATCATAGCAAATTTTTTTTTTAGATTATTACTAAAATGTTAATTTAATATAATTATAGAATGTAATATACAGAATGGTCCAGCTTATTCAGACAACTTTAATAACTTTTAATCCAATAAATGTTTCTTGCTGAATTATTTTAATAATTTACATACTTGTAGGTTTTAATAATAATATAATAAATATTTTTCTATAATTTAACAAAAAATAAATGAAATTTGTAAAAATTAACAAAAAATGTTTAAAAAACAATTTTTTTATTAATTTAAATAGTTACGTTTCTGTAGTATTTCAAAGTTAGTAAAAATTTTTATTTTTTATTCCTAATATGCTATAGAATCAAACCATAAAATTAATATTGAATAAAATAGACTTCTGATACTTCCCCTGTTTCTTTCATTAAACATCATTTAATTCTCATTTTTTTAAAAGTGGTCTAACAAAATAACTTTAATAAATAAATAACATTTTTGTATTTTATAATTTTATTTGAAATGAGGAATTTATTTTGAAGGAATAGTGAATGCAAATGCATTCAATTTTTGATAGAATGTCAATGTAAAATAATTACATTAAGTAACATAGGCTTACATATGAATGCATTTCACAAAAAAGGAATGATATTCAAGGAATTCATTGTATCCAAACACTCAGTATATCATTGTTATAATTTAAGCAATTAAGTTAAAATTAGGATACAGAATTATATGCATTTATAAATTTTGTTTGAGCCACTTAGAAAGATCCCAAGTTTGTAAAACTTTGTTATAGAATTATACAAGGTTATTGATTTACCATTGACCACTAAATTTCTTAAAATAATTATAACTTTGAAAAAAATACTTTTTTGATTTTGTTTAATATTATTTATTTCTTGATTTTTAAGCAGTCAAATATTTTTTCCTTATATAAAGTTACCAACTTAATATTTTTAAATGGCAATATACATATTTAACTAGTCCATACAATAGTAAATGTTTCAACTAAAAGTATGAACTTTTGAAAACAAACTAAACACAGAACTTTTAAACCCATATTTTGAAAGTTATTAACAGCAGTGTATTAAGACCTATATGGAAAATATTCCCAACATAGAAAAGTAATAACAAAGAAGTAAGCAAAAAAAAAAAAACTATAAAAACCTATGTCACTAACTAATTATGATAAGTTATTCAAATTTGTGATACTCTTTAAGCTAGAGGTGTTCACCCCCTTGCCGCTCATAATCTGTGTCTGGTTATTCAAAATATTTGAATGTGGACCCAAAGTGAAATGAGGGTTATTTCCTATATAGTAGCATAGATATATTTTTTGTTCTAGAGGGAGGTAAACCCTCCTTATCTCTCCAAAAATATAATGTCCGTAACAACACATTTCTGAATTTTCCAGTCAATTAATGAAAATTTGTAATGACTGATGGTATATTCAAAATAACAAAACAAAATTTATAAATGTATTTAACTCCAGACCCTAATTATAATTTTTCTTTTTATTATCATTGCTGACACTAATGGCATGCATCTGTCAAGTGTCACACTAAATGGAAAATAAAATAATTAACTTAAATAATTTTATTGCAGCTTGTTTATTGGATTTGAACTAAAGCTAAGAATATTTTTTTCAATCTGTAATCTGAATTAAGTTAATTCAATCTATATATGGATCAATCCAAATTTGGATTGAAATCATCAATTCAGACTATGGATTGAATCTATATTACATATTTTTAATTTAATCCATCAATATTACTTCTATTATATGAAATAAATTTAATATTATTAAATTAATTATAGATAATTATAATGAATAAATAATGTTTATTTTGTATTACAAAATGATTATTTTACAAATTAACAGATTCAATTCTGGTTTACTCGAATTGGTAGTATTTTTTTAATCTAAATTTCTTGTTCAGCCTTAGACTGGACCTCACATTTATAATTTACAAGGTGCCTTGTAACATCAGTAGTACATAATGTTAATTAATGGTTTAAAGACTCAAATCAAGGTTTCCTAGCTAAATATTATTTAGTTGTCTTCATTGTTGTTTATATTTTTATTAATATAAATATATTATTATTAAATATTTGATACTTTAAAATTAAATTAAAATTCATACACAATATTTCATATCAAGTAAAACTAAATGAGGCTACTTTCAATTTTCTAAAATTGGGATATCAAAAAATTTGATCATTTTATTCTGTTAGACAGATGATTATGCTGATATAATGTATCCAGCGTGGTCTTTTTGGAGTGGTGGACCAGCCATTAAACTTCATCCAACTGGACTTGGCCGTTGGGATCTTTTGAAGAAATCTATGTTAAAAGAAGCTGAAAAATGGCAATGGAAAGATAAGATATCTAAAGGATTCTTTAGAGGTTCTCGAACTAGTGATCAGAGAGATGCTCTAGTGCTTTTATCACGAAGTTCTCCAGAATTGGTTGATGCAGCATATACCAAAAATCAAGCATGGAAATCTGACAAGGTTATTTAAAATTTTATAATATTGAACATGAATTAGAACATCTACAATTTTTTCTGTTGAGGTAATATGAATTTTAAATATTTATGAAAATTATTAGGATACTCTATATGTTGCACCAGCCAATGAAGTATCTTTAGAAAATCACTGTCAATATAAATACTTATTTAACTTCAGAGGTGTTGCAGCTAGTTTTCGTTTTAAACATCTATTTTTATGTAAAAGTCTTGTTTTTCATGTTGGAGAAGATTGGAAGGAATTTTTCTATAAGTTCATGATTCCGTGGTATCACTATATACCTATAAATCCTAATGCTTCAGAAAAAGAAATTAAGTAATTAATTACTATTAGTAGTAAATTATATAAACTGTCATTATGTTTCTTCTTTTTTTTTTTAGAAATATTCTTTTATTTTTCAAAGAACATGACGATTTAGCTAAAGAAATAGCCTATCAAGGTTATAGATTCATTAGAACTCATCTACGGATGAAAGATGTAACTTGGTATTGGGAAACTTTACTTACAGAGTATGCTAAACTGCTTAAGTATAAACCAATTCCAGACAAAGAACTCAATAAATTGAATCCATGAACAATTTTGCTCAATTTTATCCTTTAAACTTGCAACTAAATAAAACTCAAGTATACTATGGTAATTTTTAATAAAATTCATTTCTTAAAAAGTTTAATACTTTAACTTATATAATAAATATTAATCGTTTGTATCGATTTTATAACATAAATCAAGTGATATCTAGATTTTTTAATTTTAATATAATAATTTTCTTAATGTTAGAAGATTTTATAAGAATAAAAAACTAATTTAAATGAAAGAGCAAATTAATTATAAATTTAACATCCAAGTTCAAAATTAATACAGACCATTACAAACAGAATAGTAGTATTTTCTCCATAACAAATGTAAATCTTTTCTTGTGGTGAATAAGATAAATAAAACTTGAATTAAAAAGTTTTATATAGATACCTAGTATTGTAACCATTAATTAAATACATTTTTTTACTGTTTTTAGTAAGTGTAGTAATGTCAATTTGTCATTTTATTGTGTCTACATTTTTATATCTTCGCCTGAATTTGACTATTAATGTATATATGAAATTTAATTATTTCTCTACTTACAAACCAATACAAAAAAACTTTTTAGTGTTATCAGTCATATTGTCTTTCTAATGTTTTAATTTTTTTGCAAATTTAATAGTCGATTACTTGTATAAAGTAACCTTTTAAACTCACTAATGAATTAAAACAATTTTTTAATTAAGACAAGTTTATTCATAGTTAAGTAACGACAATAAAAAAAATTGGTAATGCTGGTACTGATATTAATCAAAATATAAAGCATTTCAAGTTAAGCTGTACCTTTTTTTTAACACTAAACTAGGATATATCTATGTGTATTTACAAAAATAAATTAATATTTTAATTTAAAAAATAATGTTTATTTACACAATTGTATTAATGACTTACAGAGTAGTGTTCTAGTGGCACAAAAAAAAAAAAATTTTTTAAGTTATTTCGGTAACTTTACTTTCAGTCTGCATATGACAGCTGGGCATAACCAACCAGAATTTTTTCATCGGGTGTTTCATCATTTTTACACCCAGATACCTAAGATTATAACAACCAAAAAAATTAATGAAAATGATAATACTTTTTAGTTTAGTTATCTACTTACAAGAGCAAAAGTAACAGGTTTGTTTTGTGTCTGATTTCCAATCAGTACGCGTAAATTCATGGCAATAACTTCAGCATCCAGTGTATCTACTAAACCTGCACCTACAAGTTCTGTAGCAATACCATCGGGTGTATCTTTTCCCAAAAGAAATTCAAATCGAATGTCATTCAGTTCACGATTTGAATTTCTAGATAAAATGAATATTCAGTCATTAAGGACCATACAATAATTAATATTGTATATTAAAAAATATATTTACCTCATTCGTAACACCAAATTTAAATGCTCATCATCACTTTCTTTTTCACTATCAGATGAGTGTGGTACTTGAACAAGTTTATTTAAAGGCTTTTCTTTACACTAAAAGAAAAATATTGAATAGTTATTATTTTATTATTACTAAGTTTTATGGAATAATATTAAAAAACGCTTTTATTAAACCAATGCAATTAAACAAATTTTTATTTAATCAGTATATGTTTAGAATTGATGATGATAAAAGTGTTTTTAATATTTTTTAGTTTTAAATTCATATTAGCTACAATTGATCAAATTTTTTTTTATAAATACTAGACCTCATCGTCTGAAGATTGTCCACATTCTTCTTCTGATGACCATGTCCACTCACCAGTGATTGTCCTATGTAATCTACCAGATGTACCTGGCTGTCTTTTTGAAGCCTAAAGCACAAAATACATAATTTAACTAGTTAAAAAAAAAAAAAAGTAGAATAGTGAGAACACGGCGCAGTGTGGATGTGGCATAGGACAAGTATAAAGATAATCTGACAATGATTAAAATCACTATCATAAGAAACGCGCTTCTATGCAAATCTGTAGATAGTTTTTATTTTACAAATTGAAGAATTATTCTAAAAGCAAAGTGAACTCATATTTTCTTATTTATAGCCTGATTACAAGTTATATGATATATAAGTGTAATATATGAATAAATTTAAATTTAATTATTATTAAATATTTAACCAAATTTTTCAACTACGACAGCCATTTTCACATTCAAGTAAGGGTCAGATTTTCAAAAATATTATATCCAATGAAAGAAAAATATCTAAGATATCTATAAAAAAAAAAATTATTTTGATTTATACGTTTTTTTAAAGTTATGGCAGTTTTAAGAAAAAATAAATTTTAAATTTACCTATTTTAAAAATTGTAATTTTTTGTTTTTACTTTCTCCATTTAGAGAAAGTATAAATGAAGGAAATTTTTTCAATTTTTAAGGGCAATATCTTCAACTACACTATATTTGATCTTTTGACGTATCATTGAAAGAAATTGGTCCTGAGAATTGAGAAAATGTGGAGACAAAAAAAAAACAATAGTAAAATTAATACCTTCTCAGATTCACATCAAAGCAAAAAAAATTATGAATTAATAATTTAGTGTTAAGATATCATAAATCCAAAGTTATTTTAAACATTTTAGATTTTAATATATTACCTTTTGAACTCTTGTTTCTAAACTTGGACCAATAGCTATAAGAGTGGATTGCAAGTATTTTTTATCTTTTGCTTTTTTAAAAATTGGATGTTTTAATAGTTCAGTGGCTGTTGGTCTATAATAAAGTACAATTATTGCTGAGCCAAATTTAAATTATAATTCAACTACCTTTTTGTTGGATCTTTTTGTAAACAATCAGTAATAAGTTTTCGAAATGTCTTTCCATATGCTTTATACTGATCTTTATGATCAGCACCTGTATCCAATGTTGGTGGATCATTCTGCAAAGTCAACATCAAGACTTTCATTGGTGGATATTTATGATATGGTGCTGTACCAGTGGCTAATTCTATTGCAGTAATACCTAGTGACCAAATGTCTGCTTTGAAATCGTATCCATGATCCTATTAAATGATTTTGATGGACAGTTTAAGGTTTCGAGTTTAAGTGTTGGTATTCAACCAAATACAAAAATTTAGTAAAATTGTTTGCTTTTACCGTGTGTACCTGTTCCATGACTTCAGGTGCCATCCAACAAGGGGTACCGACAAATGTATGCCGAACTTTCTGGCGATTAGTATCGTATCCTGTTGTCAGCCAAGCACTAACTCCAAAATCAGCTATTTGTACTGTACCATCCTCACCTAAAAGAATGTTACCAGCCTTTATGTCCCTGTAAATAATTCAATTAACTTTTTGACAATGGTAAAACTTTGACTTTTTACTACCTATGAATTTGACTATTAGAATGGAAATACTCCAATCCTTTCAACACTTCTCTCAAAACTGTAGCTATTGTTGCTTCATCAAGTACACCATGACGGCAATCACTTGTTCTCATTTTGTGTTTTAATATATCAAGCAATGATCCACCTTCCAAAAGACGCAACACAAGCCATAATTCATCTCCAACAACAAAACTTGTATGATAAGTTACCACATTTTCATGCTGACACCATGACATAGCTTGAATTTCTTTCTAAAAAACAAAAAAATATTTTTAAAATAAAATTTTAAAACAAAGTTATAATTTTAAACATTACGGTTAACTCATCCATGCTAGTATTCCATTTTTCCAAATTAATTTTTTTTATAGCACATTTTTCTTGACGAGGTTTACAGTAAGCACAATGAACAGTTGCAGTAGCTCCAACACCTGTAATTTTTCAAAGATAGTTTAATCTTTTTGTATAATATAATTACAAATACTATATATCACATTAACTAATTTAATAAAGATTATAAAAAAAACTGTACAAATCGCACAAATTAATTTTGAAAAAGGATCACTAGCAAAAATAAATACAAAGAAAAATTTACCCAACTTACTTAAGGAATATTTTTCTGATTATGGATGAGTATAGATAGATGTTATGAATAAAAAAAAACTAAACATGTCCCTTACAAATTTTTTAATGAAGTACTATTTTTTAATTACTCTTTAATTTAATTAAATAAAATGCAATTTCTATCATTAATTCAACAAAAAGGGCATTAAGGATCATTATCATTAATGCAGGATTACTAAAATTCATATGCAAAATATTTAATGAAAATAAAAGTAAATTAGTTTAAATAGGAAAAAATTCAACAATCTACATCGCAATATTAATGATTTAGTTCCACAAAACATCAAAAAGAGGGCCAAATTGATATATGTTCTAGATTATCGAAACATTGATGAATTTTCACTCTTATTTATTTTTACAACAATTACCAACTAGTAATATAGGTATGAATACCTATATATAAGTAATATAGGAATGAAAAAAATTACAAAATATTTTTATAGATTTTATTACTATCACTTTATAATTGGATGTTAATTGTATCATGAATGAAATAGGGGCAAAGTAGAAAATAAACTGCTTACGATTAGATGGTTGTTAAGCATATAAAATTCTTATATAGAGCAGATTGTAAAATTTTTAAAATGGAAATTTCTAACAATAATGCTAAACAAATATATTACTAAATTTAAGTTTCATGTATTTGCATTTATGTAAATGCTAACAAAATCAATTTATTAATAATATTTTTTGAACATTTCAAATTGATGTTAATTTATTATGAACGAGATTTCATTAAAAAAAGAAAATCAGGAAAACTGTATAATAATCATTTTGTTATTTTAATCTAAAGTTAAAAATACAACCAAAATCTAATTACAGCAAGGTAAATGTCGATATATATATATATATATATATATAAATATTTATAAAATTAATATTTAATTCAACATCTAATATTAGAAATCGATCAATGATTATAACTCTATTGAGGTCGCTTTGTAGTGTGACATACACACTCGCTCTTAATGGTTTCACATCTTGACCTGATTTTAAGTTTTATAAATTAATTTTAAAATAAAAAAAAACCAGTAGTATGAGTTTCGAAATAATAATAAATTCAAAGTAATTAAATAAAATAATTTATAACCGGCTAATGATAATGGACTATTAACAGGTTTATACTGAAACTCACATATAATTTCTATAACAATGCAATAGTGTCATCATATTAATTAAAAATTTTAATTTTCAACGATAAACGAGAAAAATGAATAGTTTTGTAGTTGTGGAAAATAATAATTGATAACACGAAACAAGGTGCTCTAATAATCATTATTGTACAAATTAAGGAAGTACTTTACCGATCACTTCACGTAACTCATAGTCATCCCTAGTGTTAGGCCACACGTTGTTCGGTACAGGGCCCGCCGCGGTGGCGCCGACGGCCGCCAAATGTGCGATCGTCGTCGTGGTGTGCGACGCCATTTTACGCGTAATGCTCAGCTGTGAGTAAACCGACCGTACAGACAAAACAGCATTTTACTACTGCGGTAGCGTCAACGGCAATTGGCAGTGGCACTAGCAGTCTACCGATAGCAGACTCAACTGATACACACACGTTAACAAATATACACTCCCCGTGCTTAAATATACGTAACGCACACACGCACACATTGACACGAGTGCAGTGTGTGGCGTCAGGCGTTAGTGAGTCGCGACGGTTGTCGATGCAGTGACGGCACGACATGGCACGCTCGATACTTGTGATAATATGAATTATGAAAACTGATAAGTGGATATTATTGTGGGGCCGTGTGGTATTTCTACAGTAATAATAATATTTTAATCATAGATTTATATATTAATAAATGTAAACCAGTATTGAACAAATAACTATTACGTTCGATATTAATCGATTCGATGAAAACGCACAATGGGAAGAATTCCTCACCAGAATAACGGCCAGTACCGGCGCGCAGTACACGTGTATAATCATTGCACTTCAGTTCGCCTATATAACAGTATGTTCATTGCACGGTGCATTCGACGCTTGCGCCCTACGCGACTCCCACTAAGGTCACTCGTGTAAACGTTGTCGTAATTAACCACCTACGCTATGCCAATTTTAAAGTAATTGAACGTAAAAAACAGTTCATATAGATTTAAATATCGACTGTGGATGGATGTTAATTATTAAATAAAGTATGATTAAACTCAATACATCCATTGAGTTCTTGTAAACTTTATATGAACATATTTGCAGTACTGTTTTAACCGAAAGTATAATACATCTATATCAACTCCCTAAAAAAGGGCCAAGATTGTATTTAAGGTTTTTACAATTTTAGATTGATTTAACTAATTTTTTAAACCTGATATCTTTAGAAAAACTTGTAAAGAAATTGACATTCGAGTACTAAAGTTTTTTTTATCCCTCTCACAATAGTATTAGCTTCGACGCGAAGCTGAAAGGTATTAATTTTACTGTACTTTTTTTTTTGTTTGTTGCGACTTTTTCTCAACTCTCGCCGGACTAATTTCTTTCAACGATACGCCAAAAGATCACAAAACGTATCTAGTTGAAGACATTACTCTTAAAATTTGAAAAAATTTCCCTCGTTTCCTGTTAATAGAGAAAATCTTTTTTTTTTAAAACCACTATAACTTTTTCAAAAATAAACAAATCAAAATAATTTTTTTTATAAAGAAACTTTACGTACTTCCCTTTTATTTAATACAAATTTGTTGAAAACCTGACTTTACCAGACCATATGAGCAGATTTAAAGTAGCGAAAAATTGGGTTTAGAAAAATATAATAACAAGTATAATTTTGATTCTGATGAAAATTTCTTTATTTATTTATTCACAATTAACAATAAATTATCGTCTGATAAGTTTTGTATTAAGCCATTTAATTTTTATACATGTTTTCCATATTAGTAACAACTACTTTATAATATTTTTATAATATCTCCGTAAAAATTACGATATTAAATTATTAAATATCAATTTCATACTATGTTATAATATTCATATATTATACTTATAAATCATAGAACTACTAATTAGGAATTCCAGAGAAGCGTTTTTTTCCTTGTTCTATTATATAATAAGATAATGAAGGAAATAGAAGTTAACTTTGTTTTTAGAATAATCCATTAATTTTTTTAAATTAAACATTATCTACAGATTTGCATCGAAGTGTTTCTTTTGATACTGATTTAATAACTGTCTGATATCATCTTTACTTGTCCCAATTATGCCGCAACCACACTGTTTTGCGACCCCAATGTGTTACCGTTTTTTTAAAAATGAGCTGATTACTTTATCGCAGTCTCAGAATACTTATCGATAAAATAAAAATATTAGTAAAGTTAATCATACTAATAAATTACTATTTTAATTATAAATGTTTGAATCGGAAGAATTAATAATCCCCTTGACAAAAGTTCTGGATATGCTACTGCTATATTGCACATTCCTGCTATTATGTAAAGAGAGGAACTCAAATAACTTCATTTTTTTCAGTTTGAGAACTGTTAATGATGAAATTCTTGAATGATATTTATGTGCTACTAGTCTAACAATTTATTTTATCTATACACTTTATTTTATTTTAATTAATTTAAAACAAATGTTTCTTATTTTTTTAATTAAATAGATACGGTTTAAAATGAGAATCCTTTTAAAGCTAAAAAATCAGTCGTCATCTGTTAGACCTTAAAATTAAAACCTATAGTAATAAAACTGACAAATTTTGTGAGTAAATTTAAATATTATTACATGATAAAACTTGTATGTAAGATAAACTTGCCATAAATAAACAAATTATACATTTTTGACAACTGACAGATGCTTGCATACATGTGTAATTTACTACCTGAAATATATAAAAAACTAAGTAGATAACAATAACTAACACAAAATGTATCAATTTAATACAAACTGCAAATTACATAATTTTTCGATTTTTAGAACAAATATAGTTTAATTAGTAATACACTGGTGACGTTTGAACTCTAAAATTAGATTTCCATATCATAATTCTTTTGCCAAAAGCCAACAATGACGTATAAAGTGAATTATACAAATAATAAAGTAAAACAACAATAAACATATATTAAAAAAATATTCTTAATGGATAAATTTATAATAAAACGAATAAATGTAATGAAAATTGATTATAAAATTTTTGTTTTGGGAAAAATAAATTATTAGTGGTTCTATTAAAAAGACGGGAATATTGATGAACAACCATTTGTGTTTTAAATACATGTGATATATCGTTATGTTTGTTTAATACATTTTATTTTGTTATTGTAATCGTTTTATCTTTATTAAATAATAACAAATAGTAATAATTAATTTACCAATTCAAAGGGAAAAATCTTTAAGGAATTAGTCTTTCACTTAGAGCTAAGCTCATTCGTCTGAGTTGAAGATTGTCGAAAAAAATATTTTTAGGAGACAAACAGATAGTTTTCACAATTAAATGTTCACAATTTTGTCGGTTTTATTTGTATTATTACTATTTTAAAATTTGCTATAACTTTCCTGAGAAATTAATAAAGATAATTACTTCAAAAAGCTCCTAATACTTGACTTGTCTCCAATAATCACAACTTGATTTTCAGAGGTCCCGAACAAAAATATATATTGAGTCAACATGTCAAAAAACATAATATTGCTTAATACGAACTATGAAGTTTAATTTCAATTTGTCACACGGCTTATGACCTTTGTATAAGTTTATTATTTTTAGAATTAATAACGTTTCACTATCTAAATTTTAAAAAATTATGAAATTCAATATCAAACAGTTATATTAATTTGAAAAAACTTTTTTATGACAATATCTCTTGTATATTTCTTACAATAGAACTATTAGAATACTTTAATATTAATACATACTACATAGTAATGTATATGGAGTGTCCTCGAGGTTTGGACCACTCTCTAAATATAAAAGCATTGTTATATGTTAGTTAAAAGACGAAACTCCTTGTTATTCTCCATTCTAACAATTATCAGAACCCGTTTCCATATACAAAATTTCTTAATACATTAGCGTTATTAAATTATGATAATTATTAATTAATTATTTGCATTGTTATGGAAAAAAGTTGCTTAAATAACCTGATACTTGAACATAACTTAAAATGGTGCAATTTTTTGATTAAATAAAACAAATAATTTTGATCAAGGTTATTCTTACACTAAAATATATAACTAAAAATTATAAATTAGAATACATTTCTGGAAAGAACTGTGTTTAATAAAGATAAAGTAAAGAATAAAAAAATTTAAAATTAAAATTTATGAATGTACATTGTGTACATTTTTAATCTTCATACGTATTTTTCTTTTCTGATGAGTATATCTATAAATAAACTCATAAAAATTTATTACAATTTCAATTGTTGCAGCATTTGTTTATAGATAATCGTATACAATATTGTGATTTGTAGTAAATCCCACAACGTAGTTCACGTGCCAATAAACCAACTACTTCCGTTCTAGATGTATTTATGAATGCACAATATTAGCTTAAACCAAGTTTATTTTGAGCATAATTTAAATAATTTCACAATAAAATAAATATCACAGAAAAAATGTTAAATAAAACTTTTAATATGTCTTATGGCATNACAATAAAATAAATATCACAGAAAAAATGTTAAATAAAACTTTTAATATGTCTTATGGCATATTTTTCAGTAGTTTTATTGAAATAACTTTACTATTTCAATTTAAAAGCCTGTTGGATAGAACTATCTAACGTTAAATGTGTTGTTCAGTGTAGCAAAATATTTAACGATTATATAATTATATTGAATATAATTCAATTTTTGTTAAATTACTTAATAGTGATTTAATAAAAAATTATTTATAAACAACAAAATATTATTGGTGGAATTGGAATAAAAGAAATGAAAGAGGAGTCCTAAATATTTCAATCAGTGGAGCAACTATATCAAATATCCAGGAGGTGTTAAAATAGTGTAAGGTTTTCACCCGCCAATTTGTTATATTAATATAGATGGTTGTAACCATAACAGAGTAACGATAGTCGTTGTTTAATACTAAAATGTCCTACTATACTCCAAAAAAACGATTCTATTTGTATTATATTGCTACAACAGTAGTATGATGTAACGTAATACAAGATAAGAAAAAAACTAACAATTAACTTTTATAAATAAAAGTTCTTAATTGAAACTACAGGTATTAAAATTCAAGAAAGATAAAGCAACCAGTAGTTGCGCTACTGATTTTTATACTATTTTCCCATACCAATATATGTTTAATTTGTAATTTTGAGCTAAAAGCTGATAAATGCAATTAGTCGATTTTTTAGAAAAGCAATTTAAACATTTTAATTTTCATATAATTGAATGATAGTAATTAAATTAATATTACATGTAACATTGGAAATTCAAAAGTCATATTTTGTCACTAAAAAATATGTATTATAAAAAAATTCTAAATTCAAATTTTCTCATTTATCATATTTTGGTTATTAGTTACTGAAATATTTTGTTCCATAATCGGAACTCAATTATAAATAATATAATAAATTATTTGAGATATAAAATTCAAAACTATTTAAAAAAATTAATGTATTTTTTTATTTAAATTAACAAAAAGTGATGTATTTCATTATTTTATAATTATTTTTTTCACAAATTTTACTATTGTAATGTATCAGTAAAATTTCTAGACATTAAATAATATTTAATGGATCTATATTAATATTATAAATTTCCTAAATTTTGGTGGAAAGTTTATCATCGATGATTTATATAATTTACATCGGTTATCAT